AAAAAATGTTGTAAACAACTCCATTTAGAAAAAATACCCCTTCACTGTTAAAGAACTTTAAAAAAAACTTCAATAAAATTACACAGGTTAATGTTGTGAATCACAATCTGAACTTCAGGACATTGATATCAGACTTTGGCCTCTTTTTTCCATTTCTATCAAAGGAAATTTAAAATTTGTGGAATGTGACTTCACTTAATAAGCCTACTTGATTATTGACCTTAAACTTGTCAGTTATAATACCTTAAACAGGAACAAAATGACCTAAGACAAGATTGGAACCATACAAACAAAGTCTTTATCCAAACCATGAATATTTTATCAGTGTTATGTGTGGTACTTGTATTAAGTTCAGTAGTAAAGCGTAAATACTCTACAGATATTATTTTGATAATCTCAGAAAATGGATTAAAAGTGCAGATTAATAGACAAAACTGAAAAAAATATATAAAATAAACTATGGTTGTTTAAAAAGCTAAAACTGGAAAAATGTTTCTTTTCATATTTACTCCATTTATTTTTGTGTCATTTGCATTTATGTTGGTTTCAGGAATAAGCACTGTTGAAACTTGATCCTTGAGGCCTGTTTCACTGCCAAGCACACGACCACAAGTCCACACAAAAATTTAATTATCATGTGATTTTTAGCTCTTCATGAAGCTTAAATTCTAAAATTTTTATACTTAATAGGTCCTGTTCACACATGCGACACAAATGCAAATGCAAATGCAAATACAAGAAATACATGGGTGAACTACATCAATGCATATACAAGCATAAATGCAAGCGCCAACTCAAGGTATGGAAAAAGTTTCATTTTCTTGCGCTTGCAACTGCACTTGCAAACACAAGGATAAAAAAATGGTTCCATGCCACCATGGCGCAGTGAAGTTGAAAGCAAGATGGCGTCTTCCATTTTTGACGAGAAATTGGCAGAGAGTGTAAGGAAATATACAGTGCTTTATGATAAACGTTGTGCAGATAAATTGAAGGAAACTCTTGCCAGAAGAGACGTGGCAAATTGGGACCAATGTCTTATGACAGAAAATATAAACTTACAGTGTAAATATATATTTTCTGTTGTATTGAAAAGGTACTTTTTTCATCCCTTAAGCACACTATATATGAAAGCAACAACAAAAAAACTTAATGTGGCCAAAGCTTTTCACTCTTGTTGGCCATCTTGGAAAAAGTTTGACTGTGCTTGACTGCACCCATGTATCTTGCGTTCCTTGCATTTGCGTTCGACGTTTTAACGTCGTTTCCTTTTTCATTTACATTTGCGTTTGCATTGTGTGATTCCAGAAAATATCCATTACCCCCCCCCCCCTCACGGGTGGTCAATGGAAATTCCTAGGGGGGGGGGGGGGCTAAAGGGTAGAAATTTCCGAGGGGTATGGGGGGTGCCCACAAGAAGAATTTTCCATAGGGTTATAGAAGACGCGATCGATCCTACGAGACATACTTGTATATATGGATTTTTTTGATTGGTAGCACAACAAAAATTAGAAGTAGATGCCCTTTCGAGGAAAAAAAAGTTCAAGATGTCTGTCTCAAACGTCTTGTTCTTTGCTAGGAGTTCGCTATCACCTCCGCTCTAATGATTTGTCCACGCGCTCTAACGATCTGATGGCTGATTCCAAACAGCTAACGGTCGGTCCGTCCAACATTTGACTTTGACGAATTCTTTAAATAGATATCATCCTTCGGGCAAATCAATCGCAATTCTCGGTGCAATTCTCAACAGGTCTCTTGCTTCTCTGGAGATAAATTTTAGCGCATCGGTTAATGATAATTTCTCTGTGTCGAACATGTATCTAGATTGTGGACTCAACTGCAGATAGTATGATAAAAACTTAGATAATTGAGAATATACGTCGTCTATCTCGGTACTATATTTTCTTGAGCTTCATGTAAACAACTTTATGCAAATTTCTGTTGACATGCAGTGAGCTCATCGCGACAAAGCACTGCGTGACGACCCAAATGAGACCTTTGCTGTATTTCATTATTGACTTCTAATAAAGTACCGTTGGAGCCAAGCTGTTTGTCCAACAGACTTCTCGCCAAATCAACTTTGGCCCGAAAATATTAACGATCTGTTTCTTCTTTGAGTCTTCTTTGTGGAGTAGACTTTCGATCACATGCTAGGCAAGGAGATAGATCATGTTTCACCGATGTTCATTTCTGAACATGAATCAATGAAATATGGGACGCAAAATGAATGTTTGCATATTTTGTCCTTTTATAACCCAAATAGTTTTTTTGTAATACCTGAAATTTGTTTCACTGCAAGTGTAATTCATTCAAAGTTAAACTTAACTACAAACATCAAGAGATTGACTTTGTGGTGACTGTAGGACCCGTCAAGGCCAAACATTTAACAATAAACTTTGTTTGTAAGTCAGTTTTCTAGTAGATCCGTTTTGAAATTTGAATATCTTTACATAGTTTAATGTTAAATCAATAGTTAATTTTTAAGTTATGCTGTAAATGTTGCATTTGAGATGAAACTGACCTAGACAAGACGTGTCAGAAATCAACTTTGTCTGTAAGAAGTTTCGTTTTGAACTTTGAAAATGTTCACATAGTTTTATTTCAAAGAATTGTTCGTTGAGCTTTCTTTAGCAGAGCGAGATTCTAAAAATGCAGTCGTTTCTTTTTTTTTGTCAGTGGAACCTAGTTTGTAGGCCACGCGTTCCTAGCGAAGACAGTGGAACTGGGGATAAGAATCGTGGCAACTTTCACTGTATGCAAATGAGTCTCGTAATGAGCATGCGGTATATTTTCGGCGATGACTGAAATGACGCATGTAAGTTTGGCAATGATGTAATTTTCCTCCAATGGAGGCCCTTGATTTTTGTGTAATGATGCAAAGAAAATATCCCCAAGTAGGATGAGAAAATATCATAGCGGGAAAATCCTATTTTGTGGTGTTTTAAGGCGTTACGTTTCTCAGAATATTGTCGCAATTACTTTCGGAAATCTACGGTTAAATAGATTCACTTTGTTTTATGTATTTAATTGATAGATTTTCGCAGTTGTTAAGATGTGAGGTCATGTTACACTTTATAAATGCTTGAGATATCAAGTATCCACTGTCACGTAATTTTTACATGCGTAAAATTTGCGTTCGCAAATCAAGTAGAGGCAATGTATGAAAGGTCGCACATACAAATTATGTAAGCGTAAAAGTAGAAACTCGCTCAACGTTTAATCTCAACACTTTATATCTTACCACTATTTTATTTACGTGATGAAAATTTACGTGCATTAACACGTGGAGCCAAAAATGCGTCAGTGGAAATCCACCCTAACGTTACGTATGTGTCACGGATGTGTTTATACCGGTAGCTTTGAACTTGACTACCCGCACACTCTACTTGCAGCACTTCATGTCCATAGAATAGAAATCCCATATAGAGCTTTTCCGGAACGGGTTGGTCCAAGAATTCTATCGCCTGAAAGTGTTGATTATTTTAGAACAACTGATCACTTCAGTGGTCGAAAAAAAAAAGAATAAATTATCTTAATGAGCAAAACTTCAAGGTTTACTGGAAAATCAGGATCGAGGATCGAGGAATCAGGGATCGAGGGTCGGTTAAAAAGAACTTGAAAATAAAATGAATAAATAAATGGTGGATCAGTGATGTTGTGGGCGGCAGACTATACATAAATTTCACAGAACATAACCCCATTCATTGTACTGAACACTAAATTCAAGTACCTAATGGGAGTCTGTCTGAGTCAGTGATTGTTTTAACGAGAAAGTGGAATTTTCCTGGAAAATGAAACGCTTCATCCCAGTGATACTGTAACAAAAGAAAAAAATTTAACAGTTTTTAATTTTTAATTGTACATTTGCTTTCAGTACTCCTTATTTTTCTTGTATTATTGTTGTATGCACTACCCCACCAGCAATGCTGATCTTTTTTATCGTGTTAAAATAAAGTTCTTATCTATCTATCCAAAATGCATGCTGTGTACAACTCTAAACATTGTACTCTGAGACTGTACCGAGATATTAAAAGTAGATACTAAGCAGCTATGGAAAACGTAATTACTTTCACGCGATATTGATATCTTATAAAACGCACAACAAATTCAGCAGGAATATGCGCGAAGTGAATTAACTGTTTGTTGTATAAGGTTCTGTTAAACTTACACATGTTTCCTGTGCTGAACATATACTGTACCGAGCCGTATCTTGGTCCGATACAAAGAAGCTACGTGTATTTATACTGACAGAGTCATGGCCCCCTGATACCGATAAAAATCATGATTCAATTCTTTTAGTGTAAAATCCCTGAACAAGTACTCCTCAATTGAGCAATATCAATATGTAGAAGGTTTTCAAAGGTTTCACACTGGTTTGAGGCTAAGATGTGTGGCCTGTCTCTCCTTGCAATTTTTAGTTTTTGAGTATTTATATTATGACATATAACACTCGTTTTGTATTCCAGACGAAAAAGTAATATAACAGCACTGGCGCCTTGGACAACAAAACTTATATCCAAGCAAGCGAGACTCAATGCTACTAAGAGCATCCTTGTTCAAATTTAAAGTTATGTTCTCAATGTTTTCTTGAGATGACATAAACTTATTAATCTCTGTTTTCGTGCCTTGTGTGTTTCTGCTCACAGTCTATCAAGCATGCTCTACCTGCATAAGAAATACATATTGCCTTGTAAAAGATTACAAATAGGTCAAAGATCATAAAAAATTGTGTCTTAAGATGAGAACAGTTAATTTTAAGCGGTACACGGTCGAGTATCTCTAAATACGGCAAATTAAGGCCATGAAAAGGAATATAGGAAATTCCTCGGGGGAAGGGGGTTATACTTGACCCCTCTGGAACGGAAATTCAGAAGAGGTGGGGGGGGTCTTATCGGAAGAACCATCCGTGGGGGAGGTATGGATATTTTCTGGAATCACACATGTCACACATGTGAAACAGGTCTTAAAAGGCCAGACACGTACCTTTCAACTGAGTCAAAACAAGTTGTTTCATCTAATCCCCCAGCAACATAAATTTGCCCCTCCAAAACACCAGCTGACATTCCACGTCGAGAAATGTTCATGGGGGAAACTTCCCTCCACTCGTTAATTTCAGGGTCAAAACATTCAACAGTGTTCAGGTGGTGTCTACCATCATGACCACCAATTGCATAAACCTTTCCTGCCACAGATGCCACAGCAACATGACGTCGAGGAGTGGAGACTTCTGCCACTTCAAACCAACAATTGTGGAACCAATCATAGCATTCAATACATTGAAGAGGGTTGCCAGACTTCCCCCGGCCACCAACAGAAAATAATGCACCAGATGTTGATTTACGAGGTTGAGTTCTGATATTTATTTTCACTAAGGAAGGAGAAAGCTTTACATTCTTAGCTTCATCAACCAAATCTCGACATGTTAGGTTGTTCTTTACCATGCTAAGTCTTTCAACATGCTGTATGATGTAATCATTTGAAATCAATGGTAGCCGTACATGACTAAAAAGTTCTGGTAGGTGCTGTTCACGTGACACCAAATCATAGCGAACCCAGGCGATGACAGCTTCAAAAACTTGTTCTTCACGTTTTATGAAAAGGTCGTCCCCGGAAATAATGGAGAGGAAATGTCGAAAAGAGGTTTTAAGTAGCGCCTCTGTGTTCAAAAGACTCAAGAAACAACTTCTAGAATACACATCTGCTGCATCAATAAAGTCTAAACAACCGTGAAGCTCAGCATAGGCTCTCATCTCGAGGCAGTTCGAAGGGTGCAAATGGCGCTTCATAAATTCGCAACAAGCATGGACGACCAAGTCCAGCTGAAATACGGCTGCTGCGGTCAACAGCGCTTCAATATTGTCAATACTGATAGTTATTTTTCGGGTGTATATAAAGTTTATCAACTGAACGACTGCTTCTTCAGAAAGTCCCTGTATTTCGATTATGTCCTGAGAACATTCCAGCATTTCGTTTGTAAACATGCCACGAAAATACGGACTGCAGGAAGACAGCACTACACGGTGGCACTTTACTTTTCGGTCTCCAGCTTTGATGACCACATCGCATAGCTTCTGTTCCCGGAAAAACTCAATCAAAACGTCAAAAGCCTCATTTGGAAGACTGGTCGATTCGTAATGATAAGTGTCAACAATAATGTCTCCCATGACGAGATTTCTAACAAGATTCCAACTTGTCTGAAAGCGCCTTTCGTTTGTTAGGGTTTGTTAGCAACTGTTTCGTTGTCGCTAAAGCAAACAAACTTAATTACTTCTGAGCTGAGTATCGCATTAACAACCAGGACACAGAAAGGTCGAGAAAAGGAACTAAACTGTATAAACTCAGAATATGGCTGCCGGCGAGGTGGACTTCAGTCTTTTTATCCTTTGTGCCTCTTTTGTTGCTTTGTGTCTATTCCCAGGTCTCCTCTTCCGCTTTCTTGCTGAGCCAGCGATTTTCTAAATTCCAGCTGGAGAAGTCCCACAATTTCTTTTATTTTTATTCTTATTTTTAAGGAGTCTTTCGGGGCCATACAAGGACAGAATGGAAGCAAATAATTCAAATTCACTTAGACTGCAAGCAGTCTCTCTTTTTCTTCAGTAGTGCGGGGCATGCACGCGCGCGTGTCTCACCAGTTTCGCTCGGCTGAGTAAGAAATAAGAGACTGCTCGTGGTCTAAAGTTCACTGGTGTCACGACGTTTTACTTCCGTATTTTCGAAACATTTGATATGGGAGAACGGGGATGTGGGAATTGATTTTAAAAAAAAGCAAACGGTAAACTGATCCTCAAGGCATGAGGAATGAGAGAATAATTAGATTGCCCATCCTTTATTCCTACGTAGCCTCCGTTGAAGTTAGGCGTCGAAAGAGTATATCACTAGTTGTTTATAAGAACCTTTTTTGTAATAACGTTCAGCCTGAAGTTTGCCAAAATATTAAGAACATGCTAAGATCAAGAACATACCCGGGGCTCAGACAAGAACAATTTATTTTTCACTGAGTTTACTTTCCTAAATCCAGAAAATCATAATTACTGTATGTGACGCATGTCTTACATGGAATCGGAGTGCACGTAAAATTTGTTCTTTCAACACATTCCTATTGCCTATGGTCAATAATGCACTTACATCGCACTTGTAAAATTCATTAATATGAAAGCTATAATCATTGTCTTATCTTGTCTATATGTAGCTTTTAAGAAAAAGTTATCAGATTTCCTGTAAGACCATTTCCAGGTTGAAACCGGTCATAAAATAAGAACTGTCCATGCTGAATTTATAAATGGTCGTTCTTATGAAAAGGTGTAGTTTTTTATTTGATTTAAGTCGCATTTCTTAATAGCGGATAGATAGATATATATATATGTTGTAGTTAATTTTTTATCTCAGGTAATTTTTGTTTTTCTTTTGTTTCAACTTCATTAGCATATATTACCATACCCAAAAACAAAAGAAAAAGAAAAATTACCTGAAATAAAAAATTAACTACAACATATATATATATATATATATATTGGAGAAAACAACTGCCTCAGCTGTCTTGTGGTGAGGATCACTTGAGCCGCTTTTTAAACTTCAGTATTCAAGATTCTTACTGATCAACTAGTAGTCTACGATAGGCGGCCAGAGATTCACTGGTTTGTCGCTGTAGGTTTGTCGTTGTGCATAATAAGCATGCAGGCCCCCAAAGTGAATATAATGTTTCACAGGGAACACCCTCACCAGATTCCACTGTGCTTCAGTACAGACTACTTTAGAAGAGTCATCATGCAAAGCTGCCATAATCTGCTTTCTTTTAATCAATAAATTGACTCAACATCTTGGCTATTACAGAATCTTGGTTGAACACTGAAACTAATCACGCCACCATTAACCCATTCGCCCCTGAGCCGCCCGTAATCGCCCGTGCGGATCCGCGTCCCCTTTACCGCATGTGACGTCATCAGTCACCACTTCGTCAGCTAACTTGTGCAGGATGAAGTGATCTTTCAAAACTATGCCAGAAAGGGCATGATTCAGCCAAGGAATAATAATAATAATAATAATAATAATAATAATAATAATAGTCTTTATTTCCACACAAGATGTAAATACATATCTTATGTTACAATATTTGAGTAAAAGTATATATATTTAAGTTATTTACAATAAAAAAAAATACGCTCACATAGCTAAATTGTAATTAAAAATTAAGCGATTAATGTAAGAGTTCTTGAATCTATCTGTATTAACTTTCGGATACTGACTTGTTCGATTCCTTAAATTGTAAGTCGATACTTTCTTCTTGGGTAATAGTCCCCTTAGAGGGTGTCGGTCTATGCCAGATACCTTACGAAATACTTTTCTATCCTACTTTTCTAGAAGGTGCTTGATAGAAAAAGATTTAGATGTATATTTACGTTTGTAACATCTATCTACCGAGATGAAGCCTATTAAATGTCAAGCAAAAGAAAACAACGAGGCATAAAAAGCGAAAGAAGAAGGGAGAAGAGAGAGCGACAAGAAAAAATCAAGACTGCTACGTCACTTTTAAACCTGAACATGTCACTAGCACCCAGAGTAAGGTCGGGGGGGTACGGGAGGGTAAAGCTCCCTCCTCCCTATTCTGTACCTCTCCCCTCAGTAAGGGACCCAACCTCAGTGACGCGCGACAATTTTGTCTCTGATCACAAATAAATAAAGATGTAATCTGGAAACTAGCCGCCTGCCTCAAAAATTTACGTTACGCGGCCATCAATTTCGGCGATCATTTTTTTGCGAGCCCCAAAAAGGGCGAAACAGCTGTCTATGGCTTCAATCCCGCTCTGTTTTGAGTTCTTTCGGTGTTGTGTTGATGTCTCGCAGAGTTAATTCTCACGTAGTACGATCAGCATTGCAGTATTCTGCTTCCACGATTTAATGTGTCCACCTGAACACCGTAGAGAGGGGGACGTAAGGGATTGCGTTGATGCGGTTGTTTTGCTCGATTTTTTGGTGCGGTTTCGTGACATTTTTGTTTTAAGTTGCGGTTTGCGGTATTTAGAAAGTTTGGGTAATTTCAATGCGGTTTCCGATTTTCTTATGTTATTCTGTGCAGTGTTGATACGTATTTCTGTGCGCTTTTGCGGTGTTCCCCCCCTCCCCCCTCCGTGGTGAGATGCTGTTGACCTTACAACATTGGTGAGTCAATACAACACAGCCCTAGAAAAGATCTGCAACGATATTTCCCGTTGGAAATCGCGTGGATAATGACGATGACAATTTAATGATGGTGATAATGATAATGATAATGATAATGATAATAACAATTAACTTTAAGTCGTACGGTGCAGTGTCGATGACTTTAGCTCTTACACAATAAGCTAATTATTCCATAAAATACTGTATCTATCTAAATGTGCGACTATTATGAAAGTGCACACAACACCAGGAAAAAAGATTACATAATAACAGACGAACGTTTGTTCCGTTTTGAGTTTTTCTTCCCTCCCGGAGACCAGTGTTGTGTAACATGAAGAGATTTTAAGCTTTCTTGAAAATTTGAAAACAAATTGGAAAAATAAACGGTTATAAGAATTGAAAGACAGTTGTGTAAACTGCATGTGTTTACACAGTATAAAGGACATTGTGTGTTTTGATGAATTAGCTTGAATTAAAGGAAACTCTTACCTTTTTTCATTTCGAAAAAACTGGTCGTTCGCGCGCATATTTGGTGGAAAAACTACTTATGATCTGGGTGCAGACCAAAGAAAGGACAATTAACTCTCCGCATTAAATTTAATTTGCGATTCATGCATAAAGTTATTTATTTGAAATATTGATACATTCTAACTGCTTCATCACTGTATTTTATTCCTTCCTTTATTTTCCACTTTGATTAATCGGGACAATAAATATTAACTAATTTGGCAGATAAAAAAGTAAAAAGCGTTCAATGGCTCCACCAAATAAAATAGCATTCCAAACGGCTTCTTGCTTTGCTTTACATTGAAAATTAAGTATATGTTGCACAAACAAGTGATTGGGTAAACTATCACTTTTATAAAAGGTATCGTCCTTAAAATAAATAATTTTCCCAAATTATATATAATGATCTTAGCTGGCTTAGAAACTTTCTCGCAAAACCTAAGGATAAAATATGAAGTTACGGCTAATTACCGAGAACAACAGATTTTTCTCATTACCATTTTAAAATCTACGTTTGTCACAAGTGAAGTTCGATGTTTGAGTCCTCGCGAAGGCCTAATAGAAAAAAGGAGAGTTTACTTTAATTATACCATGACAGACACCCCAGGAGGAAAAGCTGTTGAGAAAGGCGTGACCATGAGTATCTACCCCTTTTGAAAGACGACATACATGTTAAGACCAAAAAAAGGGTTTCTCGTATCATTCATGTTTTGTACCAGCTTTACCAGATTATGTTTATGTTTATTTTTAGAAATATCTGGATTGAAATTTATAATTGCGTCCGACGGACTCATGGCCATATAACGTCTCTCACAGAACTTAACTCTGTTTCCGATGCCACCTTACCTAGCCCTAAGGACAATTTCCTTCGGCCGGGAACTAGCATCTATTATCTGTATTATATGCCTCGCTAAACTACGTATTCGAATCAAACAGTAAAATCACTTTCCTACACCCCTTCCCTGTCGAATACACTTCTATCTTGCAATTACCACTAGTTTAAAAATTATCTGAGTACTGGCTAATCTGACATAGGAATTCTGTATGGATTTCGCACTCTTCAAAGACATCTTTTTTAAAACTACTTTAAAAACTTTTACCCAAGTTCAAATTTACCCTGGGGTTAAAAAATGTAAACTAGAACACTAAAATGAAAGTTGAGGGTATCGAAGATAATCCTCTCTTGTTTTCGGTGGTAAATTTTTAAAGTTGCTGCGGTCTTGGAAAATTCACTTGATTAACCGATAAAATTGCCTCAAGGTGTTTCTGTAAGACCAGTCTCCTCTACTTTCTTTTCCAAAACAACTGCCCAGTTACCATGATCATAATATTCGTTTAAAACAATGGCAGAAGGAACGCCATCTTGAATTAACTTAACTAGCTCTCCAGCGCAGAACACATGATAGTACCTCTGAAAAAGTTTGCTTTTGACTTTCTTGGGCGAATCAGACTCCGCAAGTGATGAACGTGAAGACGAAGCTGATGATGTTGAAAACAATGACGATGAAGAAGAATACTGTGAATCCGCTTTACACCCGAGTTCCTCACAGTTTACCGTTGTATGCTGAAAAGCCTTGCCGCTATGAGTGGGCAAAGAAGTTCCTGGTTTCTCCCATTCCTCAGCAGCGCTCGAGTCCGACGTGAGATAATCACTGGAACTAGAGCTGTCACTGTCCACGTCGCTTGTAACTATGGATTCAACAAGCCTCGCCATCACGCTGAGGCTAACGCCGTTCCTCCCCTCTGTTCTTTTACCACACGAAGCATGCGTGTCAACTTCTTTCTCGTTCATGCATACCACGACATCACAAGGTCCATGCTCTCCATCCACTTTCGGTTTCAGTCCTCCGGAATCAACTGATATTTTGTTTATTTCAGGCAGATGCAAATCGTCTTTGCTCGCGAACAACTTCTTGGCCATCATTGAGAAAAACTCCCCTTTAGAATACTTTTCTCGGTTTTCAACAGAAAAATAGGACATCAAAGCTTGGATCTTGGAACCCTCGGTGCTTAAATCCGTGTCAGTATCCAAGGAAAAGCCATTCTGATCTTGTCCTTCCGCGTGAGTATCACCGCTTGTCGTGTTCCCAGAATCATCGTCATCAAAAATTTTCTTAATAACAGAGTTGAGAAATTTACTTAGTTTCGCGATCGTAGTTTCCTCAGTTTGTTGAGACCAATTGAGGTTGGGTTCTTTATCTCCCTTTCTAATACGCTGCAACGCATCATATTTTAAAGGGACTGTGTTTGGAGTTAACCCTATGACATGATCATGTTGACGGAGACCTCTCTTGACAGGTGAATGAGAGCGACGTTGGTTGTGACTACAGCGTGGATCATCGCAGGAAAACGCACGCCGCGAACGCCATGAGGCACCCGCCACGTTGGACGGACATCTGCTCTGAATGTGCGACTGGAGTCTTGGTGTCCCGGGAGTTGATTGGCTTCTCCGCGCTAAAACTGCAAACAAGATAATATGCTCATTAGTAAAACCTCTAGTCTCCCTAGCAGCCTTTTTTGTCTCGGCACGCAACGCTCCTCTCCAACAAGACAAAAATAGTTGCGAGGGAGATTATAAAACCTCAACAAAACCAATCCGGTAATGGGCTAGTTTCCAGTGGACCTCATTCAAAATTCCGGCTGTGTTTACTGATACTCTCTTGGGCTGATGGGATAAAAGCAATGTCACGTGGTTTTTTCGAGGGGAGGGAGCAGGCAAGACAAGTGATAAAATCCAACAACTGAAGAAATGCGGTCGAGTTTGCTTATTCTAGACAACAGAAAAAGACGAAAATAGCAAATTATGGGTGCAAGTGATCACTGTATATGTTCATTTATATAATCTACACTATTTACTCCCTATAGTTTCTTGTATTTTTTGCTCTCTTTTTTTCTGTATAGTACCTAAATAGTGTAAATGATAAAAGACTGATGATGATGGTGGTTGACATGGTTACTTTTTTGGATGCCCTAGCGACAGTAGATGTCCCAGTCCCAGCAAGCAATAATGACGTAGACCTTGTCGAAACTCGAACTGTACATTTTGCAAAACCAAAATGAGAGAACAAACAAACTCGATCGCTGGTTTGCTCCCAGACCCTGAAATATCACGTGACATTATATATATCCCATCAATCCTAAAGCGCGTTTAAACAAAGATGGCGGGTATCGTGAAGAAGCTATTATAAAAATTCTTACTCCGCTACGAGGCGTAGAGGTATAGAGCAAAAAAGTCTCTTCGAAGACTTTGAAATACAGGGATGAATAATTTATTTCTCGTTTTATTCTCCTCAGCCTCGGATTAACTGAATTACTGGCCTATTTGTTTGTAGGTTCTTTCTTCGTTTTCAAGAACGTGATTGAAACATTTCATCCAAAAATTGTCCAACAACCAACTGGGCAAGCTCTCTTTGATTCGTGAAAACTTTCTCCATGTATTTCTGCCGGCGTAACATATTTTCAATACACATACATCTTGTCAGGAACCCCACTAGGTCATAGGCTCCTGATCTTGTTCGATGTGTTGGCGGATACTACGCGTGGATAGTTTTTGACTTGAGTAGTATTTTTCTAAGCCCTGTAGAGGCCAGGAAAATGCGAGCGATGAGTCCACTTCATAAAATCACGTCAAACCCTTGTCAGTGCAGTCCCGCCGTTACTTTGTGAAAAACATGTCAAAAGGGTTTGTGGCTTTATGAGCCACGCAGGGCGAACGCGGCATCTTGCGCGAGTACGCGAGTACGAGTTCACGCACCACCACCCCGCCCCCCGCTTCCATTCCGAGTTGCCCCCAGCCTCAGTTTCAAAGCGAGGCTCCTGAGAATAAAGTGCCAGGACAAAACTCCGTAAGAACACAGGACACGATGATTCTTGCATTTTGGTAAGTTCATTAGAGCGTACACCGTATATCGTCCCTCTCAAATAGTATTTACTTCCAATACCTTTGTTCCTTTGATAATGTGTGTAGGGTACTAAGACATCTTGCCCATCAAACTGAAACATGAAAGAGAAACAATATGCCATCTTTATCCCCCAATTCCTTACTCATGAGTTTTGTGGTTTATAAAGGGTTCAAATTTAGCTGACTATTCCAGTTAGTTCGTGACTGGCGGCTCTTTTTCGCTTTTTCCAAATAAACTATAGATCGGGTTGTCAATTTCTTATCACAATCCATAAACATAGGATAAAGATGCTTGAGAATCAACGAGGCCGGTGACCAGGTCGTTTACAGCACGAGCAGAAGGTTATGGAGTGTTCTTTTTTATATAAGATCGTCTACGTTTTGAGCTGAGGCTGAGCCCGTCGCAAAACGATCTTTGAGTATATAAAGTGAACATGTTTTGCCCCATATAAGATCATCCAAAAAAAGTCATGAATTCTGGATTGCATGCTGTGGATTCCAGAATCCAGGTACCAAATTCCAGATTCCAGCTCAGTTGATTCCAGATTCCGGGTACAAAATTCTGCATTTCTTGTCAGTGGAACTTAGATTGGGTATTCTAATTTTTAGCAGAATTCCAAATTCCTTGAGCTAAATTATGGATTCCAAAACCAAGGATTTTAGATTCCACAAGCAAAATCCTTGCATGGGGAAAATACTTTCAACATGTTTCTGTTCTTGGGCAAGTCTTAAGCATGACACAATTGGACCTTGTGTCTAAAGAGGTACCCTACCAACATTGCTTAAAAAAGAGTGAGGGTGAGGGTGAGGGTAAGGTACTAATTCAAATTAGTATCACCATTATCATCACTCTTAGTCCGGCCCTCACCCTCGTTAAAGCAATGGCCAAAGAGGTAACCTTCAGGAAAAAATCACCAAACCTCAGATTTTCCTCAGTACTCGTATTCAAATCGTCACTTGAATATTAAAAAGGATTTTGATCTTAGGTCAACCTCAACCACCCCCCTTTCTCCCCCAAGAAGAAGATCTGTCCAGTGCAATATTAGGTGTCACCTCAGGAGGGGGGAGGACTCCCAAATGAAAGAGTTGAAGATACTCCTCACCAAGCTTAGAGGTGTGATTTGCAGATTTTGGTCCCACTTAGGGTGTTCAGAGTCTCATAATTACTGAGTGTAAGGGTGCATTTTTCCATTGCCAGATATCACTTGGGAAAGTGTGTGCTAGGAAATACAGTATATACAAAGAAAACCAATATGTGTTCAAGACAGCATTCAATTCCCATACCTCTCATGCAATGTACCGAAATCACAGCAGGTCTTAATCAAGACATGTCCTCCTTTAAGCTTGACCATGCTTTGAAAGGCTTGGAAATAGCCCTGTAATAACTTTTGCCACCAACGATGCTCAAAAGTTCTCACCTCCCCAAAGTTTTGAATAAAACAATTTCCCCTAAATTAGCTAAGTACTGATTAATACCTCAGATGCATTGAAAATTTTGTCACAGATATATAAATTTGGTTAATGTATTTTAATATCATACGATTTGTTAGAGAAAAAATTATAATAATACTTAATATTCTCAAATGTTTTTGTTATTCCATCCTTTCATTTCCCTCCCACCATCTACCAAGAGTGTTCGTTCGTGGTAGGTTTGACTGTGCAACTGTATGTACTATAAAATTAAGTAACAAACCTTTCGCTCATCTTGTTCAAAAGCCCAGACATAAACCAGCATTTTCCCACCAGGTTGGAGAATTCTGTAAAGCTCTTCTAGAGCTTTCATGCGCCTTTTCACAGAAGCAAAGTGATGAATGACACCAACAGAGATGACTGCATCAAAACAACTATTTCTGAATGGAAGGTTTTGATTATCACAGGTCACAACATTGTGACCCATGGCTGCCGCAATCTCTCCAAATTCCAAGCAACTGTCAGATCCAACAACAAAAGATTCTGGGGCAAGACCTAAGTACTTGCCTGTTCCACACCCTAAAAGGTACAATAATTTTGTTCTATAAATAGGCAGAATATCATCATCAGAGTGAGCACCTAAAGTCCAGGATAAGACTTACTGTTTTGTAATTGACAGTGACTTACAGTACCCAGGGACTAAACTTCGTCACACTACTTGTCTACACCTTAAAAATTATGAAGCATTGATCCCTTTCCACCAAAAAAAGTCCACCCCCCCCAACCTTCAATGGTAACAAAAAAGGGATCGATCGAAAAGTCAGGGGGGAGACACTTAGGAGGTTGCTATGGAAACTAACATTAAAGCATAAACAATCAAGTTAAACCAATGAAGTTAATAGCGTAACACAGGGAAAATAATTTAAGATAAAGGGGACATTCCACCCTTCTCTGGTAGAGAAAAATGAGAAAGGTGTTGGGAAGGGGGGGAAGAGAAGGGAGACAAAAGAGCAACATGGCCTTAAAACAGCAACATGAGACAGATGAATGTGGGAACAAACGACACATGAGATGAGACTGTGACAGTGCAAATACAATGGCAAAATAATGAATAGGACATGGTTTCTTCTCAATACATGAAACAGTGGGTTTTGAAATTCAGACTAGGCACATATGTCCCCCCCCCCCCATGTACCCCACCCCAAATCTTAAGAAGGCCTAGGCCTGACGCATGAGAGAGCTGACTGGTTAAAAAAACTGACTCTCTGCAACACCCCTTGAGAGGTGAGCAAAGCCTCCCTGGGGTATGACTGTATATGCCCTGTTAGGGTAAATTTTGGACAAGTGACACTGCCTTAAAACAGCAACATACGACAAGAGGAAATGGGGACAAACAGCAGAAAAATGGCTTAAATAGTGACAGGACATGGCCTACTCCTCAAAAGTGAAACAACTGTACTGTATTTATTTGATTAAATGTTGCCCTCGAATGAACACCACCCTCGATCAAACACCCCAGATGGAAGCAAAATTATCAATAAATGCCGCCCTCAAATAAATTCCACACCTAATCAGAAGAATGCAGCATTTACCCGAAGATAATAAGAAAAACCTCGGTACAACTTGGTAATTTAAACCATCCAGACAATTATGATTCTATCTCAGCATAATAATAGTGACATTGGGACCTTTAAATTACATAATATATTTACAAACGATTTACAGTAACTGTTGTCAGTGATTGAAAAAAAGTGATTTCGAAATAAACGGTTTGAAATTCGTACCAGTTTAATGTATACCCCCCCCCCTCCCCCCTCTAAAAGGGCCTTACGCAATCAGGACCCTCACTCATGGTGTGTACAAGGTTAAAATATTATGTCACAAACGTCTTTGCAAAAACAAAATGGCATTATTTGGGGAAAGTCAACCAACAAATCAGCAAATAATTTTGCTGCTGCCTTGTGACTAAATTTTAGCATGACTTTTCATGACCTTGACAACATTTAAAGGAAATCCTGAGGAAGACTGTTTATATTTCACACTGCTTTTGATAATGGCTCTCAACAAAAACCTCACATAGCGACCAGCTGATATCAACCACAACCTCGTGCAAAACAGTCCTTTTTAAAAATATTACGGCAAACACTAACACCATTATATTATAACTAGAAAACAGAAAAACAATATCATTATGACAAACACGAGTGGTCTGGCTTGTGAAAAAAAAAACGACATTAACAACCAGCCATGTCTGTGTTAAGCTTTATCTTGTACAAAATATTTTCAAATAATCGAGTTACGCAATATTAACGCCTTTTAATTTACTGAAAAGATGCCTACAGATTATTAAATGAACTATTGTATGTTTCTTTTGCGACTTAACAGAATCCTTTGTTTAAAAAAAATCACCGAACATTCAATGAAATCACCCAAAAATTATCGGTTTATATAAACCGCTTTTTTTAATGGCTCGCGATCCGTTTCGTCGGTGTTAAATAAGTTACAACTCACCTACATCAGCGATCAAACTCCCCGCTGGCAAAGACAGGAGAAATTGTTCAACTCTTGGCCATGCTTTGTGGCGAGATCCAACGAAGTAGGGTGCAATGTTGTCGTAAACATCACGAACGTGATGTCTTTCAAGTCCTTCCGGAGTTGAAAACTGCGACATTTGCCAAGAAACGGACGATAAACGCTCACATACACTGCCAATTTTGAGACTTCGGAGAGTTTTGAAGAAATCATGAACTTTTTCTTACAGATATCAAAGCTGAATAGGAGACAAATCAAATAAACCCTTGGTTAATTCAGCTGCTGTCCCCACTTCGTGTCAGAACAACAAAAATAAAAATTTTTAAAAACACCGCTTTAGTACCTATACACTTTAGTAATGATGCAGTCGTATTAAAAGCTGGCGAACTGTAACACAAAAACAACTGTAGTAGAAGTTTGCAACGTGTGATGGCGAGTATATATAAATATTTTCCGATGTCAGAAGTTAAGAATCATCTCATCACTTTCGGGTTGAAGAACAAGCTGAAGATTATTAGAAACCGCAAGTCAAGAGAAGCGAAAGTACAACTGTACTTTATACTCTGATAGGTTTAAAGTTGGTAAGATCAACATTTTTGCAAGCTTTTCAGCAATTGTCCTGTCACAGTCCACAGTCGTGGCCACCTGAAAGGAAAGTGGAGAAGACAATTGAGAGAACTTACCGCTGATGCAGTCACTCATTTGTGATCGGGTGTGAGTTCCTTTTCGAACCATTGATCGCCAAATTATTCACAGCATCAAATTTGCAATTGAAAGGAAACGTGTCCAATAGACAGTCCAATGTTTTGAATTACCGCAAATGGGAAAAACTCAAGAAGTGTTACGTGACTACGAAAAAAATACACCTCTGAACCTAGAAGCTGCCCAGGTAACGCTATCGTCAAATCAACAATCTGATTCGCGGGCTTTCCAAAGCTTTTAGCGCGCAAATAACTAATGACTCAAATCTCCGCTTACAAAAGACCAGCTGCTAAGGGAAAAGCCATAGATTTATCCAACAACAAACATTTACATGCAAATGAAGTAATGAAGTGAATAAAATGTTCTTCCAATGAATAAAAGATTTTCAAATATTTGCTTAGCAGACTTTTATAGCATACATAATTAACTTCTCGATCACGTGTTTACAATGCCTCATTTAACAGTCCAATGACAGGAGGAACTTGCCATTTTCCCGTCCACAAAATCACCCTCTCCTACGTTTTGAGCCATTTTCTCTCTCTTTCCTTTCTCTGGCGCCCAAAATTTCTCTTCCTTTGAAATGAACTGGTTGGTCCGGCATTCCCTCTGCAACCCCATATTAATTAAGGGCATAATTAAGTACAGCAAGCTCTCAGAACGGATGCTACTAGCCGTTTGGGTATATTAGTAGAATAAGTTACTTTGCGGGTTTTTATCCCTGCTTTTTCTCATACACGGCACTGCTTCATGTTCCGGAGACTTCGTGACAACAGAAAAAATGCCATAACTTCATTTCCGTATTAAAAGGAGGCATTACCATCAAATGAAAATGCTCAGCTTAAATCAATTTGAAAATGGCCGAGGTCAACCAACAAGCCTGCATTTTTTCCAGAATGTTTAGTAAATAGTTTTTGCCAGTTTTTCGCATTTGGCTGCGGTCGGTCGGTCATGTGGGGCGCAGATTGTTCAAACTTTTTCGGATCGTAAACTTTTGTCTTTCTCTTTTTGCGGCGGAACCACATGCTCAATTGCGGAGACACAGTGGTTCGATGACTTGGCGCTAAAGCCAAATCAAAAATTTAAAGAAACATGCTGGTGTTAATGCAAGAGCTGGATCGATCCGGAATAGACATGTGGAGTTGGATGGTGATTCCGCTATTCTAAAGCACGTGTGCGAGCACCATCCCAGTTCTCGTAAATAGTTCGGCGCTGTTTTTCGTTTTCACAACCCGAATATCAGTCCTTCCTTAAGCGTTAGAAAAGTCTGGTCCTGGTTGTTCAGACGTTGGATATATCCAGTAGATAAATCACTATCCAGCGAATGTTTTTTTTAAACTGAAAGTATTAGGAAAACCAATTACGTTATCCACTGAATAGTGATTTGCTCAGTGACTTTCAAACGCACGGTTCTACCGTTTTCAACTTATGAAGAGGAGAATTTGTCGCTTCCATGGAAAATGTTACGGCGAAAAGTTTGTGTCGAATATAACAAATGGTACGGTCATCTTTGCAGCTGTTTGCCGGTGGTTTGCGGCAAATATTGAAAACAGAAAAACAATATCAATAGGCCCCTTCATGGTTGTGAGGGCATGCTGGGTAATCAGGACAAGATGGTGGGGAAGTCAAAAGTTTGTTTGAGAATTCAAAGTCAACTCTAAGGTCAACTAATTCTTCCTAACTTTAAATAATGAACTTAAATAACTATACGCTAAATGTGGAGAGCACAGCAGTCCTTTGTCGCTTTTTAGAAAATTTGACTTGTTTCATACATTATGTGTTGTCGGATTACAGGAAATGTATGGATCAACTCAGATAAAAAGGACTGCTATGCACTCCAGATTTAGTGTGCACTTTCTTTAAGTTCATGAGTTATATTTTCAAGAGAAAGTGACAAATATATTCAATTAGCAAGAATTAGTTGACTTTGTATTCCCATACAAACTGTATTTTCCCACCATCTTGTCCTAATTACTCATGATGCCGTTACAACCGTGAAGGGGCTAGAGGAGTCTGTTATGACGAACAGGAGTGGTCTGGTTTTTGTAGAAGAAAACAACCGATTACAACAATGTTTCGCGTCTTCGCTGCTACGCCGGCTACAGTATTCGGGGAAATTCCAGTGTCTTGTTATTTTCATCGGTATGTTTTTTCCGAAATGGGCGCGCGGGCCCCATAAATTAGCACGTTTTCCCTCCTGGGATTCTTGCATCACCCCTGGATATTGAGGGCAATATTTTAATGCTTTGCCATCATCAGAACACTGTCTTATACATTCATGCCCCGAGAGGTCATATACTTTCGTTTTTTGCCCCCTCCCCTCTCCTCCCCTCAACGCTTATGCTGCACTTCTTCGCATACGCGGAAATTATTTTCGCCCATATCCTGCATATGTTAGTATTCCCCGCGTGTGCCATAGAGGTGCAGCATCACAATGAAAGTTCTCCTGCTGTCTACTTTGGCAACTTGGACTACGAGCAGTCTCTCTTTTCCTGTGCAGTCCGTCGAGTGAATCGCGCGAGACAGTCTGCCGCCCTCGCTTCTCGCGTTTCGCGTTTTCCTCTCCTCGACGCTTGCGTGGGCGTGCTCACTCCCCCATGCACTAAATCTTAAAAACAAGAGAGACTGCTTACCGGTTGATGTAATGTTAATATACACACAACAATTTTTCACCTTTTGTAGGGCTAATACTCCGCACTCCCACGGGCGTTTGGTCGTGAGTTAACGCACGCCCCGACACAGTACTTCACAAAATCTGATATCCAATCAAAGAACTATTTATCTGAGCTCAACCATTCAATTCGGTATGCAGAAAGGTCAAAGCCTTGCAATGGGGGCAAAAGAACTCAAATGGCACGACATCTTCGTGGTTCTTTTTGGAACCATTTTAAGCTTTGCCGATCCCATCACCGATATCCTTACACTGGTGGAATTCTATCGCGCAGATCACAAGACTTGGTTCGGAGTGGGGCTAAGTTTCATTATTTTACCGTGTTTGTTTTTTGCAGTACTTTACGGTGTGTCATCAAAAGAGTCTGGATTGGCAGAAGCCAGTCGCGTTAGGAGATTCACGCAAGTTTTCCTTTTCGGTTTTAATCCATTTTCTCCAGCCTTGGTGAAGCTGCAAACGCTCATTTTCTACCTAAAAAATTTTAGAAAACTCTGGTCGGGCGAAAAAATCGTACCGTCTGATATTGGAACGGCTGCCGATGAAGAGGCGCATACTCTTCTCGTTTACAGCAATTTAGCTCTTATGTATGAAGCCACTCTTGAATCAGCTCCTCAATTTGTAATTCAGCTGTACGCCATGGCTGTTCAACAAGAATCCGTAAAGATCGTTCAAATGGTTTCTCTACCTGTGTCCTTCCTCAGCTTAGCTTGGGCGTCGACAATAGCTGATGAGGTCTTTCACTGCGAGGGAGCCTACACCACTATAAAGGACGCACCGAGTGTGAAAAATAAACTTCTGCTCTTTCTAACGCATTCATTTGTTTTGAGCAGTAGACTTTTTTCCATCGCTCTTTTCACCGTAAGCTACAAGTAGTGGATCACCAGTGTTTTGATCTTTCATTCCACGGCAATAGTGTTGTGTGACACTCTCTGGTTTTGTAGCAAAAGCGATTGTAACGCGGGAGTTATAGGTTTATCGATTTTCTTTTTCTGTTTGCATTGGCTTCGAGATGACACGTCAACGAGAATACAAGATGAACTAACAGAAGACAGAAAGAAAGAGCTAAGAAGAATGCAGTTGTTCTCCAACGTGCTGTTTTTGCTAGAAGACAGCACAATGATTTTGTTGTTTTATTTTACCATTTTCCCGGCCGCACGTGGTACTCTTTGCCAGTCGCGGTTTGCGTCTGTTCTTTTGCTGTTCTTGGTGCCATAATGAGAGTTACACACTTTTATTTATTAACGAAAGAATCAATTGAGGAACCAGATGAGCCGCTTTAGTAACTCTTGTAACTATGGTTAAGAAATACGTGTCCAAACTTTACAAAACAAAATAATCACAGAACTTTCACGTGGTCTGATATCCGACATGAGTGTAGGATTTAGAGGGGAATCAGTGTCACTTCATGTAAGAGAATCCAATAGGAGTCTTGGATTCTGGATTTCACGCCGTGGATTCCGGATTTTTTTGTCAGTGGAACTTGTATTCTGATTCGGGATTCCAATCGTTAGTGGAATTCCGGCTTCCTCCAGCTGTATGCCGCATTCGAAAGCCCAGGATCTCGCATTCCACAAGCAAACATTTTCCCTGAATCCGGATTCCACACGCAAACATTTCCTGGATTCCGGAATCGTGGCCGATTAGTACCTTGTCAGATGAACTGCATGCCGTCTTCACTGACTTGTGCAACAAGTTCTGCAGATACTTAAGAGAAAAAAACCCCTGTGAACGAGGTTGCACGTGCTGTACAGGTACAGTCACGTGTAATCCGTGTACCATGTCCTCCTCCTCCTCCTCCTTGGTTGTGAGGAATGAATCCTAAACGGTCACATGTTCAAAAACGCCTCACTAGAGAGCAAACAACGCAATTGAACCTAGTAAAGAACGGATTATTAGCTTTTAAAATGATTTTATTTCGTTGTTTTGTTTTCCCACTGGAGTCTCATGCTGTGTTAATTGAACAAGATGTGTTTGTCCTATGTTAGCCTGTGGGGCTAGGTGGCTTTTTAGCTGGAAAGAACCAATCGAAAACCTTGGTTGTCTTTGTTGAAAGCGAAGTTAGGATTTTTTTATAAAGGTTACCCCACGTAAAATCGGAATATGAAAGTAATTTTAAGATCTGCCACTCCTCAGCTCTTGAACTGAAAGTTTCAAAATCTTCGAAGGAAAAAATGTTCAGCCACTCCTGGATATTTTCTATAAAAAAGGAGCTGGGTTCTCAAAATAATGTAGTCACGAGGACACAACCTTAATCTCTAATGGCATGAAAATGACGTGATGGCTGGTTAAGATTTAAAAGGGGGCGTCAATGGGGTGGGGGTGTTAAGTTTACATGTACCCTTCCACCCCACCTGTATCCTTGTTCGGGTTGCAGAATTTTACTTTCCTCTTTGAAGGCGTACGATTCTTTTACTTTGTATACATACGAAGCACAAGAAATTTAACTCACCTTCGGCGGTGACTCTGATTGTAAAACCCCTTAAGGTAACGTCACAGGATAAGTTTTGTTTCGCTGTATCAACATTATAGACACACGAACAGCTTTCAACTGCTTTTTCAGTTCTATCAAGAGAGGATTATTCTTTCTTATCTTGCCGTCCACCATAAGGAGGGGAGAGGAATGACTTAGAAAAAAAGAGAAGGGACGGTGGAAAACAAAAGAAACGGCCAGGAAACAGTCACTAAAAAGAGGGTGGCAGACTTGTTGTTGAAATGGGAGAGGAAAGAACTAATCATTGTTTTAAAAGTCTGTCAATTGTTATCATGGATGATAGAAAGACTTTCTATTATTCTTGTTGTTATTTGAGACGTCTTTGAAGTTATGATTCCTTTTTACATCAAAATTTACATTTTCAAAACTTTTGAAAATAAACAAGCGAATTCCGACTAGCGGGTGAAGGGGAAAAACTGACTGCGGTGTGTAGCTAGTTCAAACGGTAGTATTGAAAATCAAGAGAGAAGGAGACGTATAAAACACTAGCCATATGAAGTATTTACGGTAACATGGGCATTCTAGCAAGGTCTAGCAGGTAACGTCATGACCTACAGCAGCTAAAGCTCAGTATGTTTAGAATGTCTTTTAACAGTTTCGTACCTGACATCGGGAATAAAATTATGCAGTGCTGGTATTTTCGCAAGTAACCCGACGACCACAGGAAAGACAACTTGTACTCATTCCTGATCTTGTCTTGGGTTTCTATAAAGACCCCCACTTGCTGGATAGTTTTTCACCGTTTTTGTTTCTTTTACTAAGCTAGGATCCGATATATTTTACTACTTGGTTTCGGTCTTGTTATTTTGACTATCTTGAGCTAAGTACGTGTTGTATTTTATGCTCCATGTGGTATTTATATGGCTGTTGTATGGGCAGGGCAGCGCAGACAACATCTTTTCCAATTTCGTGGCAATGCCGGGCTTGTCCTTGTAAGGTGGAGCAGTCTGAATTAATCTGTAAAGTATTGAGGTCCGTATTTACAGCCATAGGAAATTATTTGTAATTTATGGTAGCAAAGTTGGTAAAGTTGCTTGGTAGTAACCTTGACTACAAAAGGTGTCCTAAAACAATTCAATTTTCAAATTTCAATATTGCTAAGTAGCTAGTCATTAAATCTGTTAAATATTTACTAAGCTTAATTCATTTTGTCTGCATTGGCTAAATATTACCTTGTAGCTGTTCATTCAACTTTCTTTCACCATAGCCGTGAGTGGACAAGTACAAACTGTTCCGTCATTCTGTCCACACATTGTTCTGTTGCAAGAGCCGGGCAATAAACTTTATCATGGCTTGGTCCGTTCTACTTTTGGTTGTCCTCGATTTAGCCGGACTCTATTTCAATGGGCAAATGCTACATGTCTATTTCAAGAGCGCGTCGAAGCCACAAGTGTTTCATCAAGATTACAGACCCCTAGTGAGCAACCAGTTTCTTTACCAAATGTCCGTCCTTACCATGAACTCCATCGAAGTTTTGGATGTGCTAGATATTCAACAAGTACGCCGAATGTGTAGTTTCTTCCAGATCTTATCGGTTTGCGTCAATGTTATCTTGGTGTCGAACTTAACAGCAATACTGATAATCGGGTTATACCATCACATGCTCACCCATTTATCGCCGGTATTATTGATGCTTACTCCACTTTGTTTCGGCTTCTTTGGCTCCGCGTGCTTTTGGTGGTGCAGCTGTTTTCTTCACGAGTTTGAATATGAAATTCTCGCAGTTATCTTTAGTTTCGTTCTCCTTCTTTTACTCCTTGTGACTTTGATCGGGCACAGGCTATTAAAAACCAGTGCAAACGAGCGAAGCAAGTCGTTGTGGGGTACGTTCAAAGAGAAAAAGTTTAAGAATCTTTGCCTCCTTACAGTGTGGGTAGTTATTTGCTGTGGCGCGCCAGTAATAATTCAAGAACATGCAAAAACAATTTTCTCCCGGCCATTGTTTGACACGATGTTGACATTGGCGATGAATGCAATGGCTGGAGTTCTCTTTCCTTTGGTACTAATTCATCTGTTCCATTTAATCGAAGACCAAAATCAAGTGATAAACAGTATCGTTACTTAAATTTGAGTGTTCACATTTGGATGTCAGGGAAAAGTATTTAATATTGTATTCAGTCCACGAGAAAACATTAAGAGTTATACCGAAACCTCATAAAATGGCTGCATTAAAGGGTAAGAGAATAAGTGGAAAGCATACGGAGATCAGTAGAATAGCTGGAAGACATGGGGCTACGAGGCTGGGTGAATTAGCACATATAAGGCTACAGGGATCTGTGGCTGGCTGCTGGATACTTCGATATGAGATAACGTCTGACTGAGACGTGGATATGAGGGTACGCAGATAGACTTCAATCGAAGCTCTCGTACTTGACCACTTCGAAAACTGGAAAAAATTGGTCGTTACTAGAGCTGGTCGCTTACGAGAGCTTAAGCTTAGTCGGTAAGGAAATGAACCTTAAGCTTTTACAGATACAACAGGGACACCCGACGACTGTTTTCTGTAAAATAGCTGTTCGGAGAAGCAATATTGCCTAGAATTTTCTATTACACGAGGACGGCTAAAAACTTCCAGATGACCATTCCATTCACACAGTACAATCTTCGAAGCTTATCTAATAAATTCCTTAAATTTCCTGAAGTTTCATTTTCGCATTTTACTTCCCAGGTTAGGCTATTTTTCGTAGAAAAAAGGGAATCTAAAATTTTCGGAACCAAAAATGTGATGGAGAGAGGTATAATAAAATGTCTCACTTTCGTAATACGTCAAATTTCATCTAAAATTTTCGGGAAAATAACACTCGAGCCCTTGTAATTTAGAAAAGGCTCAAGTTCCCCTAGGATGACCGAATAGACACTGACAAATTTTACAGCACCGCTTAGAATGCTTTTCTAGAGATGTAAAAATACTCTTGATAACCTAAACCGTGTTTTCAATGTATTTAGGAGGAAACTGTCGTTGTGCGCCCATGATACAATACTGCACTGTACAAGATCTTTAACAACAAACCATTATATTAGTGCAGTGTGCAGTTTTATTTAAATGTTGATTTCTCTGAGTGGTCGCTTACGAAAGCGTAAAAGCAAAGGAAAAGTCGGGTGGGTAATCCGAAAAGTGATCCGACGGTCGCTTACGAGAGCTTTTTATTGCAAAGTCTAAGTCACAGTTCGAACGGGGGTTTCACATAGGTGGTCGTAACTCGAGCTGGTCGCTTACGAGAGTGGTCGCAAGGAGAGCTTCGACTGTAGTAGAGTTTTTTATTACAAAGTCTAAGTCACAGTTCGAACGGGGGTTTCACATAGGTGGTCGTAACTAGAGCTGGTCGCTTACGAGAGTGGTCGCAAGGAGAGCTTCGACTGTAGTAGAGCTTTTTATTACAAA